AAAAAAAAAAAGAGCAACAACCTCAAAACCTTACACACATCACGAACCTCGTACACCAAACAACAGAAAGTGGGGCCCATGTTGCGTCGCGTGTTACGCTACTCTCACATATACTTTGCTGACACGTAAGCATGCAGTTAAACGTGTATTCCAAAAATACCCTTAAACCCCTTTCCAACCAACCTGACCCTTACTCAAGAAACTCATCTCCACCGTCGGATCAACTAACAACGCTTCAGATCTAACGGGCGCAACTTCATCCCCTGTGCCCCCGGCGCAGCCTAGCTTAGCTCACCACCCCGATTTGAAAAAAAAAAAAAAATGTTTTTTGCTTGCACTCTTCTCTTCAGCGTGCTCCAGAACGAGCATCTCGTGATGCTGACATTTTTAGCGGTTATTATATTTATCCAACGGCTGAAAGTGGGTGGCTTGCAGATCAATCAACGGCTCAGATTTTTCCCAGATGGTTGCTTTTTTCGCTTCTATATACACACTGGTGTGCTCAGATGTGTGTCACTGTGTGTATTCACTCGAAAGCTTTCTCTTTTAGCTCTACGCCTTCACGTTTCCGGTGAGTTTGTAGTTTTCCGATAATGGGTTTTTGGAGGATTTTTATGTTTGAATAATAATGGTAGCATTTTTCATGGGCTTTGTTCTGTGAACAGAGTTAATTTATTACTTTGAGTTGATATATTGTGTGATTATATGAATCTACGAATTCTGTTGAGTTGAATGCTGGTGAAGTTTTCTTGTTTTTCTGAAAAATTAGTGGCTTTTTAGCTTTGATTTATACCATTGCACCTTAACAGAGAGGAAAAAGGGGAAGTTTTAGCAGAGAGGAGAGTTGGGCTGTTGTTTTCTTGCATGGAAGAGTAATAAAAATGTTGTCTTGATGTTGTATAGGTCAATATGGGAACCAAAATCAGAACAATTGCTCTGTGCCTTTTTCTTTGGAATCTGTTTTTCTCTCTTGCCTTCTCGGATGGGCTGTTCAGAATTGGGCTGAAAAAGCTGAAATTGGACCAAAACAATCGTCTCGCCTCTCGGGTCGAGTTGAAGGAAGGGTTAAAATCGAGGGCCGAAGCCGGAGGTGTGAATAATGCAGACATAGATATTGTGGCTCTGAAAAACTATATGGATGCTCAGTACTTTGGAGAGATTAGTGTTGGCACCCCACCTCAGAAATTCACTGTTATTTTCGATACGGGTAGCTCGAATCTGTGGGTCCCATCTTCAAAATGCTTGTTTTCTGTAAGTACTGATGAAGCCCTTTCAGTCATGTTTATGTAATAAAACTGATATTCAATTGTTAGGATGTATGAATATGGCTGGAATTTTGCAGGTTACATGTCTCTTCCACTCTAAATACCAGTCGAGCGAGTCGAGCACTTACAAGGCGAATGGTTAGTTTTCTTTTTTTTTTTCGCAGTTTTACTGTTATTTACATTGTTTATAACTGTGGAATCTTTAGCAAGTATAAAGAAGTTTGTGGCTTTGGAAGTGAAATAGATATATTTTTGTTCTTCTGAATCAAGAACATATCGATTGTTTTGACAAGATCTTAATTATGAGGATAAGTTAGAGTGGTCAGATATTGATCATCATGGTTCAGCTATCTGATCATGATGTTCAAGATATTTTCACCTATTTGGAAATCATATACACATTTATTTAAAAAAAGAAAACAATTACTATTCATGGACAATTTTTTTTATGACTTCTCTTGTTCAGGAAAAGCTGCTTCAATTCAATATGGAACTGGATCCATATCTGGATTCTTTAGCGAGGATAATGTTAAAGTAGGCAATCTAGTCGTCAAGAATCAGGTCATTTGCCTTTTCTTTTCGATTCATTTTTATTTTTTTTTTCTATCAAATAAATTCTAGCAACTTACAACTTAAATGTTTATGTTGGCCAGGAATTTATTGAAGCAACAAGTGAACCAGGTATTACATTTTTGGTAGCTAAGTTTGATGGCATATTGGGACTCGGTTTCAAAGAGATCTCAGTGGGAAATTCGACCCCTGTCTGGTATAAACAATTCCCTCGTTTTTTTTTTCCTTGTAGCATTTTGCTATTTTGTTCGATGAAAGTTTCAAAGGCTCATTAAAATTTTTGTTCTTGCAGGTACAACATGATTACACAAGGTCTTGTTAAGGAGCCCGTTTTCTCGTTTTGGCTCAACCGGAATGCAGATGATCAGGATGCAGGTGGAGAAATCGTGTTCGGAGGTGTTGACCCGAAGCATCACCAGGGTCCACATACATATGTCCCGGTCACACAAAAGGGCTATTGGCAGGTGAGTCATTTTTCGAGTTTCTGTATAAAATAGTTCTTGAAATTGATGAAAAAAATTGATAAAATATAACAAATTCTGAGAGTCAACCTAAACATTTTTTTTTTTTTTTCTTATTGTTCATTTTTGTAGTTTGGAATGGGTGATGTCCTCATTGGCGGCAAAAAGAGCGGTATGTTTGCATGAGAAATCAAACGATACCCTTCATTTTTATTTTTATTTTTTTTTTCAGATAAATTTGGTGCGTAAATTTTGATATAAACTGATCGGTTTTTTCAGGTTATTGTGATGGCGGGTGCTCGGCTATTGCAGACTCCGGGACTTCTCTAATAGCTGGTCCAAGCGTAAGTTACTATATATGCTCATGCGAAACTAATTATTCCTTTTGTTCTTCTCAAATTTAATACATCTTTTGTGTGTGTTATCAGACCATAGTTGCGATGATTAACCGTGAAATAGGAGCAACTGGCATTGTTAGCCAGGAATGCAAGTCCATGATAAGCAAATACGGACAAGATATTATGGATCTTCTCTTGGCAAAGGTTGAAAAACCGAATACTTCACAACATGCTCTATATATATATATATATATATATATATTTATT